ATTCTTTAAGGAGCATTTGAACTCATAAATAATGTTTGTTTGTTGTAATTTTGATTTTGCTGGTGTGTTGTTATTTTTGAGGATAAGGTTAGACGTTATAAATTTTTATAGTAGATAATTTGATTTTTTTTTGTCGAGTCAATTTGGGTAGTATATTTCTTTGTGATATTTCTAAGTGACAATTCATCTTGTTTGCAGTTGACGTGCATTTGGCTTTTGTAGAAAATATTTGTGTTATTTTTGACAGTGTGCTCACCATCATTATTATTTACTTTGGGAAGAAATAGTCTTATTTGGTGGTCAATGAGGTGGTTATGGAAGCCATTGTTAACTAGTGTCTGTTTTGCATTGTTGAGTTCATTAAGGAAGAGTAGACGAGAGGATGAATTCTGGTGTGCCCTTTTATGAAACTTGTATAAATGAAGGATTGCTGCCTAAATATATATCTTCAGGTTTTATGAGGACATTTCCAAGTGCACCCATGATTATGGGCACAACTTTTGCAGTTCCTGTTCTATATCATTCTATCATTGTTCAGCTATATCCTGTCTTCTCTCAAATGTCTATATTCACAATTTGACAGTTTGTTTCCTTTGCACAGAATCATTAACGTGACCTTCCAAGTAATCATAATTCAAAGTACTAATGTATGATTACAATAAGAAGTGACATCTAAACTTGCACATCCTGAATCATTCTATCCAGCCGATGCTTCATTTCAACCCTAGATGCCGCTCAGTCAATAGACAAGGTTTACATTCTGCATAGATTTAGGCTAATTAATCAAATTACCAACCTTTTGCAACCAGCAAATATTTTTGGATTATAAGAATTTGGGGGGAGATAATAATGATTTTCTGGTACAAGTCCTACTATTTAATCCATAGCTGGGGGAAGAAGAATACATTTCCCAAAAGTATTTGCTTGTCCGCCCAGTCCTCATTTTCCAGTCTCGATAGAGTTCAAAAGTGTCTTGGAGTCCTTGCAGGTGATAAATTATTTTCCACCCTCCAGACTCTCTCACAGACAGGATGTGACAAGCCTCTATCACTACTTCCATGTAAAGTACTTGGGTTCCTTGGCAATAAAAATCTACATTCATTTTTTTTATAAACACGTGCAAATTTATTACAAATATAGCAACAACATATTAAAGTGCACATAATATTCAATGGCATTTTACATTTCTACCAATGTTAGCTCCCTTATACTGAAATGCTTGTTTTGCAAAAAATTTCATAACTATAACAGTGTCATATAAAAGAAAATGAGTAATTACTGACAACAAGGTTTGAACAGACTTATGAATATATGTTTTCCACCAGGTGTATAAATAGCGGTGTCAGGCAACTGACTTGAGTGACTATTGAGTGGAACTATCAAGTTGAATTAGTGTGAATTATTGTGCATTGAGGATTTGGGTTTTGATTTAGGACTTACCAGACGTTAAGCCAAGTCACACCACTAACAAAGTATTCACTGAAATGGTTAATTATCTTTGGTTGACTTTTACTTCTTTGTTCTTGTCAAGTATTTATTTGCAGTTGTAAATACTGCTTTATCTTAGCATTGAAGTCCTGGGTTATACTTAATCATTAACGCTCACAGTACGTCACAAAAAACAGATAAATTAAAAATTTTAAAATAACTATAACATTTGTGTGCATTTTTAAAATTCACCACCATAACAGAATGGAGATTTTATCACAGGTACAATAAGTTTATCTTTATAATTTACCCCTGAAGATTATCTTAGAAAAGATCGAAAGTACTTGGGTTAAAAAAAAAAAAAAACTATGGTGACTTCTTTGCTGAATTTCATCTTAACATCAAGAAGCTGATTAGAAAACTGGAAATGGTCAGTATAAAAATAAATAGACACAATATGTCTATATTATTTAATGATTGGGCACATAGCCGAATGGTTAGAATGTTTGCATTCTGACCATGAGATCTGGGTTCAAATCTCACCATGGTCAATTTGTCAGTAAGGAAACTTCCTGATGTTATTGGACTGGAGGGGTCGATCCCAGCGTGTGGCACGTGCCTGAAAAACTATACCACAGGTTGACCCAAGCCTTGTGAGTGAAACTGAGTAGATGGAACCCTCGGGAGTCATCGATAGCTATGCTAGCATAAAGTCACACGTCATTGTGGCCAAGGGCTTGAATGTGCTGGCCTTGTTCAAATTGTTGATCACACTAGATAACATGCTCTCTCCCAGAAACTGTAACAAAGGTTATGCTCAGCATAGTTGCAGTATAAACCACAGGTGGGCTTTGTGGGTGTTGAATAAACACAAATATACCTGAGCAAGCATCTGCAATAAGGATTGGCTATCTGACCTCGTAGACAGGAATCCTCAAATATGACATTATTTAATGAAATATGTTTGAATGAAGATATACTGCAGAAATATATATGCATCAAAAGATAGATTATAGCCTGACAAATTAGCTAAAAATTTGATATGAAATTTTCAATGTATAATGTTCAATCTATGTGATTAATATTCATCACTGAATTAAGTGCACTAACAAGAAAGGAGATTATGTTGAAAAATATTTGTTGTATAAAGTAAATGTTTTTTTGTATCACTAGACTGTGGATCTACCATCAAAAATCTATTATTAATTTTTTAATTCTTGTCAGCAAAAGGGACAGGTAACTTTGTAAATTACATATTGGGAATGTCAAAATCTTAGCAGGTGCAGAAATTTAACTATCTAGGTAATAATGAGGACAGAAAGTGTAACAAAAATCCAAAGTTAAGCAGGAAAAGTAAAAAAGATACTTTTCAGAAACTTTCCTTAAAAACACATGGAAGAGTGTTAGACTGCTATATAGTCTTGAGTTACCTATATAGCAATGAATGCTAGACAATCTTCTGACAGATGAAGAAAGTACTTAAAGCATCAGAAATGTGGTTCTAATGAGAAATGAAAATACCATGGACAGAACATACAAATAACAAGGACGTTTTATGGTCGACAGGAACTACAAGGACGTTTTATGATGAATAGAAAATACAGGGAAGTGTTATGGTGAATAGGAACTACGAGAATGTTTTAATACGAATGGGAATTAGAAGGAAGTTTTAAGGCGAATGGGAATTACAAAGAAGTTTTAAGGTGAATAGGAACTACGAGGATGTTTTAAGGCGAATAGGAACTACGAGGATGTTTTAAAGGCGAATAGGAACTACGAGGATGTTTTAAAGGCGAATAGGAACTACGAGGAAATTTTAAGGCGAATAGGAACTAGAAGGAAGTTTTAAGGCGAATAGGTACTAGAAGGAAGTTTTAAGGCGAATAGGTACTGGAAGGAAGTTTTAAGGCGAATAGGAACTAGAAGGAAGTTTTAAGGCGAATAGGAACTAGAAGGAAGTTTTAAGGCGAATAGGAACTAGAAGGAAGTTTTAAGGTGAATAGGAACTACAAAGAAACTGCTGCTGACAATCAGAAAGACTAGAATCTGCAAAGATGTTTTACCAACAAATGTTGTGAATGCAGAAACAGACCATGTGAGAAACGGGGAAATTTTAAGGAGAATAGTAATAACAAGTAAACTGCTGCTGACAATCAAAAATATGACAAGCATCAGAGATCTGGTTCTATCAACAAAGAAAAGAAAGCTAGGAGAATTTAACAGTCATACTGGCTACAATTTAAGCCGAGGTAGGGGAACCTACTTGACGTGTTTTAGTAATTGAATAACAAAACAGGGACCATAAAAACATAGAGAGGTAGTAAAGACGCAAGAGTTACTTAGAGCAACAAAGGAATTCCAATTGTGGAAAGCTATGATTGCCTATATCCTGAAAAGACATGGCATATGAAAAAAAAGGAAAAAAATTCCTAAGTCCATCATTTGTAAGAAACTATAAAAATAGAAGAGTAAAAACAAACAAAATATTACTGAATAGTTCTTGTTTGCAGGGTTTTAAGTTAATATGAATTTTACAAGTAATATATTGGACATGGGCAACCCTTACGAGCAGTGGGCTGCATTAGATATGGTTCATAAGGTGAGCCACACTGCTAAAAAGATTCAAGATAATTTTTGAGCCAATTTCACAGGTAACAAGAACAGTATACCACCGCAGATTAAATAAAGTGTACAGTATGAATTCTCTGTATGTTACCTGGATCGACACAAACCTGATGAAGACCAGAGGGTACAATGGCTGAAATGTTGTGAAAGCAACAACAAAAATGAAGACAATAGTCTGAATGTAAATTTGACAGATAGGGAAAATTTTGTAGAATTATTTTTCTTCTATTCAGCTTGTTTTTGCAGTTGTTTTTAAGAGGATGTAGAAGCCTCCCCAAAGGAAAACTTAACAAAAACCTTATGAAATTTTCCCTGTCTGTCATATTCAATGAAACATGTATACATTATATAAAAAGATTACTTAACTTTTAAATACCAATTTTTCCTGATATCAATGTTTCTGGGCAAAATTTCTAGTCTTCAAGTGTTTTAAATGGTAAATTTTAAAAAATTGACAAAAATTGGAAATACCATTTAAAACCACAACATAAACATCAACATTGGGATAAAATTGATATTTAAAAGTATTCTTTTCATATAATATCATTAATGCTCTATTTTTAATATTATTTTAATATTGAACACTATATATAAAATTATCTGCTGTTTCTTAAATCTTCATATATATATATATATATATATATATACATACATACATGATTTTTTTAAATAGTTTTTTAATATATATATATATATATATATATATTATAGATAGATAGATATATATATATATATATATATATATATATATATATATATAAAGAGACAGATATATTACACATATAGTACACAGGATTTATGTTGTGTCTTTACCATTTAGGGAACAAGAATTCATCTGAAAAATTTTGTTAAATTCAACTGATAAGATTCGTTTTTATTTTTTATAATTTCGCTTGAAAATTTAATTATAACACATTTAAGAAATCTGTCGAATTGCTTAATTTGTTCTATGAAAGAAAAAAAAAGATAATTAAAAGAATATAAAAAGGACTGAATGAAAAGAAAGGGAGAAAGGGAGGAAAGAGAGAAGAAGAAAAGGAAAGAGAGAGAAGAAAAAGGAGGAAGAGAGAGAAGAAAAGGAAAGAAGAGAAAAAAAGATTGAGAAGAAAAGAAAAATAGGAAAAAGAGAGAGAAGAAAAGGAGGAGGAGAGAGAAGAAAAGAGAGAGAGAAAAGGAAAAGGAGGAAGAGAGAGAGAGAAAAAAAGTCGAGGAAGAGAGAGAGAGAAAATAAAGAGAGAGAGAGAAGAAAAAGGAGGAAGAGAGAGAGAAAAAAAGAGGAAGAGAGAGA